AAAAATACATACGAGAGACAATAGTACTAAGGAAAAAAAAAAAAAAAAAACAAAGAGAGAAGATATAGGTTTGATGTAAAGATTATTTTTGCAACAAATAACGAAGGTACGCGCGGCTTATCAATAGCAATTTTATGATGCCCAATAAACGTAATGCAATATCTTTCTTTCGGACTAGGAATATTGCCGAACAATGTAATATTTTTTAACATATTGTGAATGCAGGAAATGGAATATCGGTATGGAACGATACGATATCGTGGGATCACTCTATCTTCGGCAAGCCCGGCGACTAATCCTGCACCCGGCAAATACCGTAACCGAAAAACGAATAGAAATAAAAAAATAAACGCCGCGTTCGTATATATACGGCTCGCGTTCCAATATGCCGACGCGTACGAACAGGACAGCTTCGCGAAACACGTTACAAATTTTGATTGAATAAACGTTGGATCGTTTCGCTTTCGGCGCGCTGATTTTTGTGGAATTAAATGACGAATGCAGCGGACGCGGAAAGATACACGCCCGTCGAAAGACAATCTATGTGTTGAAAAAAGATACAATGGATGAAATAAACCAGCTCACCGCTCCGCCTCCTGCGCCATTACGAAAAAAGCTTCGTTTTATCGCAATATTCTCGCTTCGATCATAACATTAACGAAATGGAAACAACTCCGCGGTTTCTCATCATAACTCGATTTTTACTTTGTCGTATTTCTGCCGCTTTTTTCTTTCCCCTCCCCCCCCCCTCCTTTTTTTTTTATTTATATACTCACTCGTTCATTCGTGATTGAATCGAAATCAAACATGACAGATCTCTGATTTGTTTATCGATTCAATCTTACATTTTTTTTTTCATGCAGAATTTTAAGATAAATAAACCTTTTAGTACGCATTTAGTACAGATTTGAAAAAAAATCTTTGTTATTAAAAAATCGAATGTGAATTCTATCTGCCATACTGAAGAATTTGTCGCAGTACATTTCTGACATTAATTTTTTTATTCTTCATTTTTGTCATTGTTATTATTGCGATTTGCTGTCCGCGGTAAGAATATTTCATTCGGGTGTGCTTTGTTATTTGCATTTGTGTCTCTCGAGTTTATTCGCGAGCAACGCTAACATCATCAGCGTTCTCGCTGCTGAGTCCAGGACGTGAACTGTGAAGGTCTTTATTTGAACATCACCCTTTCATTTGCCGACACAATTTACTGATTGTACGAAATTTCGTACCTCCTCACTACCTTTGCCATTACGTTTTGAATTAATTCACTCGCGAGTATGTGCCGTTTTATATTAAAAATTTCGCAATAAAGACTGCCGAGTGTCAGGTTGCGTTCCAGAGACTATTTTGTATACTATGGAAACGTTTACACGTGTAAAATGCTCCTATACCAGCAAGTGTTACGAGTGTTGGACGGCATTTTTTAGTAACTTGTTAGGAAACTAATTTAACTTCGCAGTAGCTTTTAATGCGAACTGTATCGGCTTTATGCGACATAGTCGACACAAGAGTAGTACGAGGTGCATCTTTGTTTTAAAGCGTGCTAAACAAAAGAGAACCTTTTCCGGAAGTGCTATACAAAGTGAAGCGGAAATCATGATACAACTGAAAAGGAGGTCATTCCTCACACAAAAAGAAGCTTGAAAGTGCAGAAAAAATGTTTTTTTGAATTCGTGTCGGCAGCGATTGTCAAAATGTGAATAAAATTATATAATTTCTCGTTGAAAAGAACAAAGATTACTTCAGTTCTTCCTCCAGTTAATTTTTACAATGATTTGTGTTATTTTGAACTTGTTGTACCAAATAAAAGTTTCATTACTGTTGATATGAAATTTTTGAATGATATATTTTGAATAATACATAAAGAGATCTTCAACTTTAAAAAAAGAGAGTCTAATATTCAGAATAAGATTTCTCGGAAATATAATCGCGGAAGAAAAAATGCACTTTTCGAGTCTTTTCGTCGCGCTATGATTTTCATCCGAGATATATGTATGTCCCTCACTATTTACCGGATATTGCTTTTGTGAATTTACTATACCTAAATTTAGTCTCTCGTCACGCATTATGTCGCGAGTGTCGCTATGCTCGCGAATATGTAGATTTAAGCGACGTGAAATATTTTTTCATGGCGCGCAAGTCCTACGGGCAATACCGGGCGAATGTGCGTACACTTTTTCGACACGGCAGAAAATCAATACCTTGTGGCCGGAAATTGAATTTGGACGAGTAAACAGGCCAGCGGCGTATTATAGTGTATAGTTGATATAGTATATAGATTTTTAAATAATCCTTTGGTAGTAAAAAGTACAGTTTTATCGGTAGTGAATTCAAGCGCGGTTAAGTTTGCGCTCGAGAGAGCATATGTATCGAAAAGCATTAATATGTAGGGCGATCCGCAATTAACGATTTGAAGTGTTATTTTACGAGTTCCAAAGCTGAAAAGTTATTGAGAATCCAATAAATGGCTTTCCCCGATCTTTTTCCAATAGCAAAGATGCAAAAAATTCTTTGAGAGAAATTAAGACCAGGATGCTCCATATTACGTTCGCATTATATTTTATATAATTACAGTATCTACATATAGCATACTGTCAGAAAAATTTATTAGCGTGAAAATCAAATTTCCGAAATTATCTTATGCTTGCCTTCTTCGTCGCTACCGATCATGGCGTATCGCTCGTATCCGGTGAGATTCCGAACTGCTCCCAGGCCAAAGTCGTCTTTCGTCCACTGAATGGGCCCCTTCTGATCGAGAACTCGGCATGGAAGCGTCACCCGACTGCCAATCACCGCGGTTTGATCCATCGGCTCGATGGCGAATCGCTGATAAACTACTTCCGTCGTTGTAAACGGCTTCAGCGTCGACACTAACACGGACGACGCGTTTGTCACGTTCGTAGCTGCCACTGTCTTCGCCTCCATTGTCATCAGCAGGGAGAGGCAAGTTATTAACGATGCTATTCTCCGCCCGATTCTTCTGCTCGCGCTCCTACGGAATAAATGAAAAAGATTTATTAGATTAATCGCATAAAAATGGATATAATTATATCGCGATGTGAAACTAATTGCCGTGAAACTAATCATACTTTTTGATCGCGTAATACGCTTGAAATTGTGCATGATGCATAACTCGATATAAAATATGAGTTACCGCGTATCTGCTACCTAAGATCGATTGTGGTTTATTTAAAAAAATTTTTTTTAATTTAGTACTTCAATACATATATATGTACATATAAGGAAATATTTCCCAATTGGAATCGGAAAAGCTGTCGCTTTCTTTTTGTGAATTTCCGATACACTTTCCTTCTTCCTCATGTTGATTAACGAGCATGCACGCTGTGTATACCGCTGTGTATATCGTTCCTCACTCATTTACCTCGTCGTCTTATCTAATTTATTTTTATAGTCCCATCGGATTCAAAAATGAAGTTAGAGCGCAAGGTGCTACTGCCATAAAAGAGGCGATAAAAGTATTGCCGGGTGGCGGCAATTTAGTATTGGAAGCAAGGGTGTGTTTTACACAGACGCGTGCGTATGTAGCTAAGAGCACATATGGAATCGCCATTATGAGGGAAGCTTTTTTACGACGGTAATATAGTTTTGTCGTGAAAATATACTACGTCTTAATAATTATCGCACGGAGCGTTTTACGAAGTAACGGGCAATATCGTGCCATGCGCGCGCGCGCGCGCGCGCGCACGCGCGGCGCGGATGAAAAGGGGAGCGACCGTGATCTTTATTCAGATCTAAATAATTCAGAGATAACTCGCAGCCGAGCTGTCAACTATCGCTCCTTTCCATTAGGTAACGCTTCTTCGGAATTGATCGTTTGCGTCTTCCTAACGAAATTCCTCTCGTTCTTCTGCCCCTCGCTCGGCGAGCGTATAAAAAGATCAAGAATGCCGATTGACCGTTTTACCTGAGCAGCCGTCGTGCTGAGACTCATGGTATTTCATAATTCGTTTGCTTACGCAACGCATACATTTATATGGTCGTTTGGCTTTCCAAGGTAATAAATTAAGTCCAATAAAATTACTTTTATAAGTTAATTTTATCGAAGATGATCAGGAACAGCACCGGGGAATCTCGGAGAGACGAGCGCTTCTCAACAGATTCCACGCTCAATTGTTGACTCTGCGCGTTCAAAGCTGCGCGCGTTCGTTAAGGTAACTATTAGCTTTTATTATCATTTGGCAAAACAAACGAAAAGCGTACCAGGATCGTTGAACTGGATTTCTCAATCGTCCGCCGCTTAATTAATTTTCGTCGCGTCGTTTATATTCGTATCAGCTATCGTTCGTCATCTAATAACGGGAACAAGATGGTACTCGATTCGTACTCCCCTCCCCCTGCCTCTCCTCCCCCCGCGCGTTTGTACGAACCGCTTCTCCGTCATCTATCTATTTCCTCCCGTGTGCCGTTCTTATTCGTCGTCGGTGAAATGATCGATAGAACTGAAAATCGCTCGAGGAGAGATTCTTGAGAACGATGTATCGTTCTCGTATGTCTTGTCGGGACTCGCGCGGTCTTCGCACAGACGTGGCGCCTCGGCGTCGCCCCGTGTTATCGTCGAAGCTGTTCGTTATACGTGGCGTTCCTCTCTCTCATTCTCTGTCTCTTGCTTTCTTCCCCCCCTCCTCTCTCTCTCTCTTTCTCTCACTCTTCCTCCCGCGGCGTTCGTCGGAGCAACGAAGTTAGTACCGAGGTTCTCTACGAGCCAAGTGTTTCTTGTCACGCTGTGTTCCGTTGGTTAGCAGATAGAGGATGTCGGCTAAGATGACGGCTCATACGACATCGCGCGCGGGCTGCTTCTTATGAGCTCAATAGGATAATAACCCCAGCGGCAGTTGGCTGCCGCCGAATGTCCGCCCGAATGCTTTGAATGGAATATGCGAGTAACGAGCGTAATAATAATTGCGCTTGTGTCCCGTATTCGGGCCACCCTCGCATCCCCCTCCGACGAGATCGTACGACGGGTTACGAGACTTCGTGTACGAATCTCTCTCTCTCTCTCTCTCTCTCTCTCTCTCTCTCTCTCTCTGTCGTATAAGCGGTTCTACAAAGCGCGCTTCTTTCGACGCTCGTTAAGCCATTCTTTTCTTGTTCGACGGACGCGAACGATATCGCACGATTATTTGCCCGTGGAATGTCGCGACGGTCTAAGGGGTACTTGAACGACGGTAACCAACGTCAGCGTCTGACGAGATCGACGTTTTCATTGTGTGCCGTTATCGTAGTTATCGCGACGTCGCTCGAGAATCGAATTTTTCAATTTTTCTCCACGTAATAATTTGCAACGGCGTAAAAATAAATTTTGTATCGAATGCAATTTACTCATTTACTTGGAAAACATTTATCATATTCCGTGACGTCTATGACAAGGCACGCCACTAGCTTACGAAACAGAATTGGGTCATGTCGGAATTGGATGGGATACGTCCCAGGCGATTTTACACTACCCCCGTGATTTTACATGTAAACGTATATCACGAAAATATCGTACGCGCGCGTTACGTCCAACGGCTTCTATCACGCCCATTAGCTTTTTATCATTTGCGAGAGAGTATCGGAAATTTCGTGTCGCACGCCTCGAACGGGCGGCGTATTCGTAGATTATGCCGCTGTGCCCCGATAAAATAGAACACGCTGGTAGAAGCGTAAAACAATCAATCGCGATGTCATTCCGGCAATTACTAGCGAATGTTGCGATAATCACTAGCGTGTAGGCGAATGGGGCGTGGGCGTTTAAATTTAAATAAAGTCACTAATCGAGACGGAATGTCGAATCGGCTTGCCTGTCGGACGTCGCGTT